CTTCCAGAGCAGCACACTTCCCCACAGAAAGCGAGGATCTCTCTGTCCTGGATGGAGATGGAAAATCCCTGCAGGAATTCAGGGAGCCCTTAGTTTTAAGCACCACATTGCAAAGCTCAGCCTAAACCTAAACCGGCAGTGCAGTTCAGCCCCCCCAGCCCCGGCAGATCCATCATTTTCCAGCAGAATCCACCAAACCTCCCCAAAACAAGTTGCTTTTCTGTCTCCAGCTCCTCCTTTAATTCCCCACCTCTCCGGGCTGGGAAGTTCAGACTGCAGGGCCGGGCTCCGAGTGCTTATTAATTAAACTGGGCTTTGTTGGCCACTCCGGGCTTTAACCAGGAGCATAACAAACCCATTGTTTTTCCCTGCCCAACGGACCGTGAGCGCCTATGGAAATGACCCACTAATTCACCAAATTGGTTTTGTTTCCCAGATTTTCCCACATGTCCATTTTCCAGCTGTAATGCAAATCCCAGCCCAGCGTGTCTCCCCCAACAGCCCCGGGACCCCGGGTGAGGCTTGGGGAAAAACACTCCAGCCACAGAAACTTCATCCAGAAAACTCCAGGAAACTGGAATTCACTCAGAAACCTTTTGTTTGGTTGGTTGGTTTTTTGTGCTGGGTTTTTATTTTGTATAGATTTTTTGTAATTTGTTAATTATTGGTTGTTTTATTCCTTTTCAAATTATTATTTTTCATTATTGTTTTTACATTATTAATATTTTAATTATGGTTATTTGAATTTTTTTTTTTTTCATTCATAGAATCCTGGAATGGGTTGGGTTGGAAGGGACCTTAAATCCCACCTCGTTCCCAACCCTCCCATCACGAGCAGGGGCAAATCCCACTTCCCAGACTTTCTTACCTCTCCGTGAATATTTTAAGGAAGTCACTTCCAGGTTTCTCTTAATGCCCAGACAGGTGGGAGCTCAAAATTCCTTCTGCCACCAACACCAGCAACAAAAACTTGGAAAGCTAAGCTCTAACAATCCCTGGGAAGGGCAGGAGCTCCTTAAACACTAAAGCACCTCTGCATGTCACTGGAGAAGCTGTTTCCCTATCCAGGGAATAAATCCAGCTCTGAACCTGGCATCACAAAGGGAGAGCTGGGCAGGGGGCTGGAATTATGGGCAGGAGACTGGGATTATGGGCAGGAGTTTGGGATAACGGACAGGAGACCAGGATTCCGGGTAGGAGGCCATTCCCGCAGCCTCCAGAGAGGACAGCTCCAGGCTGTCCCACAAAACAGCCTGGCTTGTTTGAGTCCCACATCCCAAGGAATGTAAACTTGCCGGCAAACTCTGCAGGCCAACCTCATGTTTCAATTGCCAGAGCCGACAGTTTCTATTTACACATCTCTGCTCTTCCCAAGGAAATGGAGATGTCCTTGTCATCTCCTTTCTCCCGGACTGTCAAGTGGCTGGAGTCGGATGCTGGGCCTGGAATCCTGACTGACAGCACTGACAAATCTATTAACTCCTGCTTGGGAGCAGGAATGTGTTTCTCCTTCCAGCTTTGTGTCTCCCACAAAGCATTTTAAAGCACCTTTCCAGGTTCCACTTGGCATTAAATCATGGCTTTGGAATGTCTCCAAGGATGGAGCATCCCTGGAGTGTCCAAGGTCAGGTAGGACGGGGCTTGGAGCAACCTGGGATAGTGGAAGGTGTCCCTGCCCATGGCAGGGGGTGGGATAAATTGGGCTTTAAGGTCCCTTCCAAGCCAAACCACTCCATGATTCCGTGATTCTCCTAAAACTGGTGCTGGGCTGGATCAGCTCCATAAGTGGAAAACACTCTGAAGAGACACTGTTGCTTGAAATTCCCAGTTTTGGTGTTTCCAAAGGCCTTTCCTGACCTTTTTCGGTTCCCAGAATTCCAGACTGGTTTGGGTTAGAAGAACCTTAAATGCCACCTCATTCCAACACTGACACCTCCCACCACCCGAGGGTGCTCCAACCCCTTCCAACCCTGGAATTCCTGGACTGTTTTTGCCGCTTCCCTCCTGGTTCCTGGTGCCCCTTCCCCACTCCAGCTGCAGAGCAGGAGCTACCTGACATAACAGAGGTGGTGTGAAAGGGAATTAATGTTCCCAATCTTGCAAATCCCAAACGCGCCGGGGTGAAATGGAATCCCACTTGAGGGAATGTTGAAACCAGTCCCACAGAAGGCGAAAAAACCACAGAGCCAGCTGAGTCAGAGCCCCAGCATGGAAAATTCCCGCCCAGATGCTTACAATTTAGCAACTGGAAGCAGGGCCTAATCTGCACGAAGCTTCCCTAATCTGCATGAAATTCCAGCTCTCCTTGGGATGTTCAGAGCCCTTGGAAGCACAAACCTAAATATTCCTGGTAGGCAAAACCAGGAGAGGGATGGAAGTCCAAAGAACCGGCAGCTGTCACATGATGACCACAAGAACCACAACAAATTATCACCCAGATGTCACCACCTAATCCAGCAGCACCTGGAGCCTCCCTGGAATCACAGGATCCTGGAATCTCCTCACTCGAAGGCGAATCACTGAATCCAGTTCCTGGCCCTGCACAGCACAATCCCAAATTCCCCCCAGGAGCCTTGAAGAGCTTCCCTGCAGGGAAATGCTCCAGAAGTTAGACAGGATGGAAAAGCAGTGGGAAATGATTTAATGTCCCTTTAACAAGGTATTCCAAGGAGCAGGACCAGCAGCATTCCCAGCGAGGACTCCTGGGAATGGGAGGGGCGGTGAGAAGCGACACCGGACGTGCCACACTTGGGGACATGGGTTAGTGGCGGACTCCATGGTCCCAGGGGGCTTTTCCAGCCTGAATCCCATGATTCCACAGCCCCCACCCCAAAGCAGGAGCCACCCCAGCTGAGCCGCCGGGACACACCAGTAGGAGCCAGTGTAAGAGGGACCACTGTCAGGCTCTGCATCAGCTGCCAAGGGAAAGGGGAGGAAGGATGGAAAGGAACCCACAGGCGGATCCTGACACCCGAACTGACAGGGAGCTTTCCCTGGGAGAGGCCAGAGCACTGCCAGGGGAAGGGAAATGAGGGAATCCATCTGGGATAAGGAGAGTCGGAGCCACAGCCTGATCTGAGTGGAGAGCCCTGTGCATAAATTCCTCCTGAAATCCCAAATGCTGACACAACAACCGGAGCACGGAACAGTCCCAGACCCCATCCCGGATATCTGTAACTGCAGCGTCTGTCCTGCTGCTGCTTATGGATTCCTATTCCCACTCAAAGCTCTCTCAGCCCATTCCCTGGGAATGCTGGAGCAGGAGGGACACCTGCATCCATCCCACTCCCACAGCCAGGAAAACCTCTCCAAGAGAATTAAGGAGGACCTTCTAGAAACACCAGGATGCTCCCAAAATTCCTTATCAGGAACTCTGGAATCCTGGATCCTTCTTCGTTCCTTCCCCGGGTGCCCCCAACTGCATTTTTATAAACAAAATATTTCTTAAACCAAAGGAAAACACTGTTTTCCTTAAAACTGGGAAAGGCAGGGCTGAGATTTTTTGGGAAGCCCCAGCCAGGCAGGAGAGTGGGAAGCAGCAGCAGGGGCTCTTCCCTGGCTCTCCGTGCTCTCCCTCAGCCCCGTGGCGTGAGGGAAGGGAGGGAGTGGTGAAATTTCCCTGCTTTTCTTGGCTTCTCTTGAGCCTTTCCCAAAGTGTCGTAACCGTGCCTTGGCCAGGAATCCACACGAACCGCTCCAAGCTCCAACACCGCTCAACAACTCCCAACAGTTTCCCAATCCCGCGGGCCGAGGGACGGCTGGGAGGGCTGTGGAATGATCTATGGCAGCCCCAGCTCCATGTTTTCCTTGGAGCGGGCTCAGGGCTGTAAAGTGGAGCCGGGTGAGTTCCCTGACGGAACTGGGGCAGGATCTTGGCCGAGCCGGAGCATTACGGACACTCTGACATCATCTATTTACTTTAATCAACCTCATTTATCAGCCTTCATTAAATGGGGAGTCAGCAGTGACTCCTGAACAATCCCAGCCTCTCCTCGGGCCCCGCAGGGATGACCAAAGCTTTATCCCAGGAGCACCAAGGCTGCAAAAGCCTTCCAGGATCCATGGAGTCCAGGCTGGGACTGATCCCGGGCCACAGCACTGAGTGCCACCTCCAGGGATGGGGATCCACCACCTCCCTGGGCAGCCCCTGCCAAGGCCTGATTGCCCTTTCCAGGAGGAAATTCCTCCTGATGTCCAACCTGACCCTCCCCTGAAGCAACTTGAGGCAATTCCCTCTCCTCCTGTCCCTTGTCCCCTGGGAGCAGAGCCCACTTTCCCCCTGGATCCATCAGGGAGTTGCGGAGCCAGAAGGTCCCCCCTGAGCCTCCTTCTCTCCAGGATGAGACCCCCAGCTCCCTCAGCCCCTCCTGCTGCTCCAGCCCCTTCCCAGCTCCATTCCCTTCCCTGCACACGCTCCAGCCCCTCCATGTCCTGGAGAGCTCAGAACTGATCCCAGGATTCCCCATCATGACTAATCCAGTCCAGGTCCAATCCCATCCAGATCCTGATCCAATCCTGGGTCTCTCGCCCACCCAGGCCCCCCTCATTCAGATCCAAGGATTTGGAGTCCAGATCCCAGCAGGCAGCAATCCATCCCATGCCAAACAACAGTCCCAGTGTCCCTCAGGAGCTATTTGTTCCCTTTAGTTGCTATTTATCTACTGCATTTTCAAAAAGCTTTTTCTGCTTTAAAAATCCCATTCCCAGACTGTCCAACTGGGCAAGGAAAAGCTGAGCCTCAGGGAAACACCTTTTACCTCTCCGGGCAAATTTTGCATCTCAAGTCCAGCAAGAAAACACAGTTCCATATATATATAATGATAAAAAACAATAAGCATCACCACAGCATATTTTTATACCTCAAAACATGAAAAATCAGGAATATCCCACGTCCTTGCCCTTCTAAGGAAGGATGAGAGATTTAAACCCTCTGGATTTTGTTTCTGCTTCATTTATCCCACTTTCAGCCCCAATTAAGGTAGGAAATTCCATGTCCTTACTTTGTATCCTGGAATTGACAAAGGGAGGAGAGAGATTGTCGTGGGAGCCGAGGTCTCTGCTGGCCATGTGGTCGTAGTGAGTCCCATCTCCATAGTTCTGCCAGGAAACCGGGAGAAAACACACATTGGAGCAGCGTTTCCCTGAGCCCCAAGCCCATCATTCCCTGCTAAATGCTAAGCCTGCTCTGCAAAGCATCATTCCCAGATTTTTTCCCCTGGCATGTCAGGTTCCAGAGAGTTTTTAATGCTGTTTCAGAGTTTTGGTTCACCCCAAATTGACTTTGCCGTGGGGAGAATCCCAAACAGAGGACTGGGATGATGTTCCTGGAATTCTGTGCCGGGCAATAAACCCTCTCAGAAGGGTCCTCCTGCTCACAATCTGGAAGAAAGAGTCAGGAGAAGCCGAGTCTCCTGCTGTGGGAATGCCATTCCAGCAGGGAAAAGCAAGGTCAGGCTGTTTGCGGAATAATTCTGGCAGTTAATGCCCGGCCCTGATTCAAATTCCCGAATTCCTCCCAGGCTCGTGCTCCCTTTCTTTCTATCTCCCAACTTCATTCAGGGGTTTGGAGGCAGAAATAATCAGTGTGTGCCAATTCCCAACTTCCTTTTCAAAACATTTTTCCCTGGGAAGCAATACAAGTGTCAAGGGGGAAAAAAGGGGAGACAAATCAACATGCCGGGTGGGAATGACGTCAGGGATGCAAAGCAGGACGGAGAAGAAAAGGTGCTGGGATTCCTCCCCTCCGAGGGATGCGGAAATCAGGGATGCCCCTGGGATACCCTGAGGGAAAGGCCCTGGACTGAGGATGAGGAGGGGATGGAGAGGGGGTGGAGAGGGGATGGAGGGTCCGATCCTGCTGCTCCTCCCCACTCCAGGGCACAAAGCCACTGGAGCCCTGAGCCTTCAAATTAATGGGAAAACAATAGAACAGGAATTGAAACCGATTGAAATCGGGGCACGAGGAAGAGAGAAGCCGCTTTTTGCGCACCCTGAGTGTTTTCCATGTGTTTGGAGGGAATAAAGGGGGATAAGCAAGGAACGAGCAGCGCAGAGCTCAGGCACCAGCCATGCCCAGCCTGGAGGAAGGGAAAAGCTGGAATGCTCCATTAGGAACAGGGGCAGAAGGGGCAGAGCTGGGATGCTGCAGCTGGGAACAGGGGCAGGAAGGTCAGTGGTCATGGAATGCCCCGGGGTGGCCATGGAATGGCCAGGGATGGCCATGGAATGTAAGTCCTGGCACAGGGATGGGGGCTGGCCCTCCCCTCAGGCTTGGAGACACTGCCAATCCCTAAAAATCCCAGTGCAAAGGGTGAAACCCTGGGAAACAGTCTGTGCTCCAGCTGCGCTCAAGCGGGGCCGGGGCTGAGGGATCCCAGTAATAAAGGTTTAATTAATATCCCTAAAAATCACGGGATGGCTGGGGATGGAAGGGACCTTCCAGATCATGCCATGGGCGGGCAGGGACACTTTCCCAGGGCCCAGGATGCTCCAGTTATCACTGGAGGTGACACTGGAGCAGGTTCCAAATCCGAGCCCAGGCTCAGGTTTGAATATTAAAAGCCTCACGAAAAGGCCTTTTAATGAGCAGCCGAGCGGCCGGGCCGGTTTTTCCTGGAGATTGCACGTTTCCATGCTGAGGGAGGGAGATTAGATGTACTTACCCGGGATGGACTCGGATGTCCTGCATTCCCCCAGGACCCTGAGCTGGTTCTGTCTTCTACATCTGGGGACAAGGAAGTTCTTTAGTGGCAATAATTCCTTCCTTTTGTGCCGACACTTTTAAATTAACGCTTCAAATTAATCTCCCGGTGCCTTTAATTAAGAACCGGGGGCCGGGAAGCGGCTCCTGACCCGCAGCTCCAATTAACTCATTGAAATGCGCGGCGGGAACGAGCCGGACCCTCAGGAACGGGGGCTGGAGCGGCACAATTCCAGCACTGCACTGAGCTCCTGACACTCGGGAGGGGCTTCGCTGACACAGCTCCAACCCGACCCAAATCTCCGGCACAGAACAGGGATAGACAAACAGGTAACATCCAGCTGTCGACAGAAAAGCTGGGGTGAAAGGGGGGATGTGTTTTACTATTGAGGGTCGCCCAGGGAAGGGGATCCATGGATACAGTGGGACGTTCCCAATATTCCTGCTCTGGTTTTCACAGAAGGGATTGGGGTGGAAGGCATTTAAAGGATCATCTGGTTCCCACCCAGACACCTTTCACTATCCCAGGTTGTTCCAACCTGGCCTGGGACACTTGCAGGGATGGGGAATACATAACCTCCCTGGAAAAACACATGGAAACACTGGAAGTGCTCAAATCCCTTCCTTTTTATGTCAAGCCTCAGGAAATGGGATTGACATGGATCTCAAACAGTCTTACTGCCCATTCCCAGCTCAATCCCATGTCCCCACACCATCCCTGTGGAATATCAGCATCCCTTGCCTTTTCCATGCACAAACAGGAGCTGTAATGGAATTCAAAACCCACATTTTGGGTGTTTCTGGCTGGAAAAACTTTTTCCAAGTCCTGCCAACAGTGGGAATTTGAGGAACACTCAAAATCCAGGTGCTGGGACCAAATCCAGGGGATTTCCAAGACCCAAATCCTGACACATTCATAGAGTTAGGAATTCCATTAGGAATTCGATTATCTCCAGAACAGATGAAGGTGTTCACAGCACAAGACACTCCGAGGTAAATATTTAATTAAACTCCAGGAAATAAAAAAAAAAGGGAAAGAAACTGTGTATCATTTCCCTGACAGACCCACTCAACCATTCCAGAGGGTTAATTAGAAGGATCCTTAAAAATCACCCGTGTTGTGGAACAGCCAATTCACTCTGCAGAGCTAAAAACCACTGTATGTTATCCCAGGGATTGGGATGGGCAGAGCTTCCATCGTCAGCACCTGGAGGGCTCTGGGCAGTTTGGGTTATTTTGGAAGCAAAAAATCACGGAATGGGGTGGGAGGAGAAGGGTTTTAAGGACTGTCCAGTCCCGTGCGCAGGGACACCTTCCAGAGACCAGGTTATTCCAAGCTGGCCTTGGACACTTCCAGGGATGGGGCATCTTCTGGGAAATCCATCCCAGGGCCTCCCCACCCTCCCAGCCGGGAATTCCTTCCCCATGTGCCAGGGCTGCTTGGAAGAACGAGGAGCGGTGCGTGCCGCGCGTTACGCCTGGAGTCTCGTGCCGGCCTCTCCCAGTTTTCCCTGTGTTTGCGCTCCAGAGGTGCCGAGTGCTCCTGACTCCCTGCAAGCCATCAATGAGGGGCCCTAATGAAGTAACTGTGACGGACAAATCCATTTCTCTGGCCCTAATCGAATCGGGGCAGGTTGACACAACACAGGGACCTAATCCGGTTATTGCCCGTAATTGGAAAAAGGCCCTTTAGTTCTCATTAGGACAATCTGCGGGGATCGGCTCCCACACTGGTGCTTCCCGAGAAAAGCCCCAAATCCAAGCCCCGAATCCTTGTGCAGAGAGGAACGCGGAGCTCTTGGTTTAACCCCAAGGCTTTACCTCAGCTCCAGAGAAAAGAAGGGGAAGATTTATCCCAGAGTTATAAGCTGGGACACTGATGGCATTTGCACAGAACTCCAGAATTTGGAAAAACAACCTCATTAACCACACAGACAAAAAGGAAATCATCATGGGCAGATCTGAGAATTTTTTCAGGAAATACATGATCAAAAAGATGGGATTTAACAAATCGTGGAATCATGGATGGTTTGGCTGGAAGGCATTTCAAGGATCATCCAGTGCCACGGGCAGAGACACCTCACACTATCCCAGGCTGCTCCAACCTGGCCTTGGACAATTCCAAGGATGGAGCAGCCACGGTTTCTCTGGGACATCTGGAACAAGATGATCCTTAAAATCCCATTTGTCCTTGTAGGAATTATGTCAAAACCAGAGCAAACCTGGAGATTGGATTAGCTCAGGGTTTGGGAAGTTTAAACTGCACATCCCCCAGGCCCTTCTCTTCTGGAAGCTTTTGGCTCCAAATATCAGCAGGACTTGAGAAAACAAACCCCAAACAACAGGCAGGGAGGGAGGGGAGGGGGAGAAAGTCATTCCTGGGATCAGATGGGCCTTTTATTTGGTGCCTGAAATTCCCAAAGCCTGCACAGATATCCACGGAGACACCGCTGTGAAACACCATCAGGGTAAACAAACTCAACTGTTCCCAGTCTGCATATTCCCAACAAAGATGCCATTGTCCTGCTGTGGGGTGAGCTCACAAACCCCCACATTGTTGGGCAGCCCTACTCAGATATTTTCTGCTCCATCTGCACCATTCCAGCTTTTCCAGAGCTCTGGAGGGACCTGCTGGCCCTCACAACTGGGTGGCGGCTCCATCCCTGGAATGTCCCGCGCTGGGTTGGATGGGGCTTGGAGCAACCTGGGATAGTGGAAAGTGTCCCTGCCCATGGCAGGGGGTGAGATGGGGGGATCCTTAAGCCATTCCAAGCCGTGCCACGGTTCCCAAGGCTGTGGAACAGTGGGATGCTCAGCCCAGCCCCACTCAGCTACGAGGAGGGCTCGTGACACCAGGGGTCAGAGGGGAACCTTGTTCCAGCCTTTGCTTTTGTTCCCTGTCTGGGATAAAGCTGCACTGAGCTCCTAAAGAAATAAATTCCCGGAGTTTTGGACAACTTGCAGACAGAGAAATCCCAAATCACCCCAAAGTGCAGGGCATAAAGGATCCTGGTCTGACCTCAGATGGGATGCAAGGGAAATCAGACCCCACCAGGAGAAGACATGCAGTGGAATGCAAGGACATTTTGTGCTTGGTCTGGGGGGCTTGGGGAAGGGAATTTTAATTTCAGTTTAATTTCAGTGGCCTGCTCTGTCTGCCAATGATATCAAAGGGCATTTGCATATAAAGTGTGTGGTTTGCCCTCGGCAAACACTGGGAGCCACTGGCAGGAGCAGATCTGTAACTTCCCAGGCGAGGAAGAGCAACCCAAAGGGACAAGTCCCCCCCAGACCAATTCCATAGGAATCGTAAGGCAGTGATTACCTGGATTTTTACAGCAAAGCCAGGGAATTGGGGAAACCCTAAGGACAGGCTGGGATTTCCCTGCTCTAATCCAGCCTTTGGGAGGGAAGATAAACCACTGGGAAAAGGTCAGGGAGAGGGGAGGGGTCCATGCCCATGGCAGGGGCTTGGAACCAGAATTCTGGGATGGTCTGGCTTGGGAGGGACCTTGGAAGTTCTCTAATTGCTACCCAGTGCCATGGATTTCATTCCCTTCCTCATGGATTTCTGTCCCTCCTGCAGGATAATAACGGACACCAAACGGAATCCTCTGATCCCACGATGGTTTGAGTTGGGAGGGATTTTAGGGATCATCCCCTGCCATGGGCAGGCACACCTCCCACTACCTCGGTTTGCTGCCAGCCCCATACAACCCGGCCACTTCCAGGGCTTGTGGGACATCCACAACTTCCCTGGACAATCTGTTCCCAAGTTATATCCAAACACATCTGCCAAACCTCCTCCAGCACCAGCACCTGCCCAGCACAGCTTCTCCTCCCCTTTGCCTGCATCCAGCTTCCCTGGGCCTTTCCCCAGGACCCTTTGGAGGCACCGCAACTCAAACTAGAATGGAAGCCTAAGAAATCCTTTGACACCTCTGGAAAACTTGCCCCCTTCCATGCCCAGCTGAGCCCCGAGCGCAGCTCTTGAAGTGTCTGCCAGGAATCACTTCCGTGATGCCGGATGGGATTTGGAAGGGAAAGCTCCCGGAGCGAGGGGCCCTCGAAGGCTCCTTCGTCTCTGCCCTCTGCTCCTGCAGCAGCTGCTCCCTTTCAACCTGCCCATATGCTCCGGAGAAGCTTCCAGAGCTCCCGTTCCAAGTGGACCACGGTTCCCTCAGGAGGGAATGCGTTAAAAGTGTGGGAATTAAAAGGCATGTGGGAGGGGAGGGTGGGAAATGCCCAAAGGAGAGGTTCCAGCACATCCTCTGCCTTTACTCTTTCTCCTGCCCCCAGAGGGTGAAACCAGCCCTGAGCTCCAGAGGTGGCAGCTCTCAGGGCTCCTGGGCTGCTGAGGGGTTATAAAAGGGCTTTTCCAGCAACTCATAATTCCCCCATAAACACTTTATCCCAATAAGATCCCAGGATGGTTTGGGGTGGAAGGGGTTTTATGGATCATCCAGTCCCGTGGGCAGGGGCACCTTCCATAGCCCAGGTTATTCCAACTATTCCTCTCCAGCAGCTCCACATCCTTCCTGCCACATTGATCTCAGTGTCACAAGGTGACAAAAGCACTGAGGGGCCCGGCTTTGGTCCCTCACCTGAGGCTATATCCATTTAAACAATCAGAGACCCTACAATTTGACATCCAGACTCTAAAAAAGGCTCAGACAAAGCTCCAAAGGAATCCAGCCAGCCCCAAACGCCACCTTTGCACAAGGAGCTGCTTTAGGAGCCGGGAGTTTCCCTGCTCTCCCAGAGAACAAGCAATTAGGGAGGTGCAGAAAGGTAATGGCTTCCCAATGACCCGCTAATCCCAACATTAGTGCCTTGCAAAGGGAAGCTGCCAGGAATTTGGAGGAACGCCTGGCGATCTGTCTTCCTTTCAGCAATAAAATGTGCTATAAACACGGGCGAGGGGTTGGGATGCACTTCCCTCCCTCCGCTTTCTTCCAGGCTGGGCTTTACCCCCAGGATAATCCAGGGGCTTTAAAGCAGCCCAGAGATATCCATCAAGG